ACGTATGATGCTATAAAACAAAAAGCGCATTGCTATATTAAGAAATGTCAATGTACTTTGATCGATTTGCATATCATACTTTCATTTGTTTCTATTTCGGCATTGAGCTCTGAAAAATCTACCCAATTATAGGATTGTACTTACGCTATAAACGGATAGATGAGTATGAGTGTGTGTGTGTGTGTGTGTTTTTTAAATAATAATAATAATGTAATTAATAAGAGGAAGGAACTGGTATTTACGGTGAAATAATCGCCAAGTGGGACCCCGTGGAGAGTGGTGACCTCTTCGACAAGCCAACCGTTTCGGTCTCTGGATTTTTGTTGAGTGGTGGTGACTTCACCTCCATAACGAGAGACGCTGATGTCAAATTTGTAATAAGTCTGTCTCTGATAAACATCCGGCTTTTCAAACTCCCATGGGCTCGTTGAATAATTCACACAGTGCGCCCTGTCCATTGCTCTCCGCTCCAACTCACTCCCACTAAACAGCTCCATCACAAAATTCGACTGCAACACAATTTTGGAAATCAATCACAATGTTTTCCTAAAATAAAATAAAATATATATATATATGCAAACAACTCCAAGTATAAGGACTCACAGGGACTGAAAGAACAGAGGAGTAGACAACAGACAGGCTGACATCTTGAATGCCTAAAAAGGATCCGCTTTCTTCGCTCTGAAGGGTTTTGTTATCGGAGTCATCATCACTTCTAATGGATGATGTCGATTCCTCTTCAACCATTTTATCATCAGATTCCTCTTCAGCAATTAGCGCCTTCTGCTCAGGACTCAACGCTCTAGCCCTCCACAGAGCCATGATTGTCCTATTATCACCCAAAATCACAACATATTTGTTCTTAAATACCAATCTACTTTCATTTTTTTTTATTTAAATAAATAAATAAATAAATACCTGTGTGCAACATTGAAAGACACAAAAGACTGGAAATGAAATCTGAGCCTGCCTTGTGGGTCTTGTGTCTTTGCACCATGCTTTGCATCCAAGCCTTTGCCTGGAAGTAATGTTATGACGACAATTGGACTACCCATTGATGACAAAGTAGGTGGGACCACTTGAATATCTTCTATGTCCTCCCATAGAAAATAAAAGTTTGTCTTGTGTCCAAATATGTCCCCATGGAACCCTATTATTCTTGCTGACAAAAACAAACGACCCTGCACCAAAAAACATAATTTCTCGCTTATTACCACGAAAATGAGCATATATTTGGAATGCTTGTGTCAAAAAAAAAAAAAAAACACCTGGAGGGGCATTTTACGCTTCAAATGACATGTAAAATCATTTATCAAAAACTCTTCCGGTGGAAGCTTAAAGAGCTTCTGAAATGCGGAGTTTGTTTGAGGAGAGCGTAATTTTATCTGGATAATTTAAAAAAAAAAAAAAAAAAAAAAAAAAAAAAAAAAAAAGTTAAATCGCAAAAAGCGAGCAAATCAAAGAAGAAAATAAAAAGAAAAGAAATTACCTTCTTTCCAACCTCTTTTTCCATCTTGGTCAAATATTCTTTGATGATATTGCTACCTCTTGTATTATTCAAAAAAATCCTCAAATGCAATTTAGATTGACAGGCCTGTGCTAACTTCCCTTGAAGAGGAATCCAGACATCCCCCAAATCAGAAATATTTGTTTTTACAAAATTTATTTGAGTTCGCCCCAAAGACACAGCTTCATCAAAAGGCCCATCAAAATCATAAACCTCAACATCCAAAGTGGATGGAGGGTCATCCATTGCATCAAATTCAAATATTTCTGCATCAACAAAAATATATAACATTTCAAATGAGGGCGTTTATGTCTTTTTCAAAAATCACACTGACTCACCATTCCAACGAGGATCGGATTTTTGGAATTTTATTGAGCTGCTTCTTGTTTTCCCATTGCATGTGAAGACAACGTATGGATCAGATAAGCAACTTGAATCAACAGCTGCTAAATTGCTTCCTTCAACCAATGCAACAGTCAGCAACCATCCATCCCCTTGTGCTTTTATTCCATGATCACCACCTGCAAATTACAATTTTCAATTTTCAAATACGGTATTATCAAAATTACCATTTTACCCTTACATACTAAATACCAACAATATTCGTCGATTTTAGCATATGAGAGGAGTTGGAAGGAAAAAGACAAAATGAAAAATAGGTAAAGTAACCCCATTAGGTCGTTAACTCCAAATTGAATGAAAAAAAAAAAAAAAGCAATTATTTATACCTTTTTGCACCCTAGCCTGCATAAAGCGTGATATGAGATACATAACTCTTTCAGCTTGAAGAACCAAAACTCCACAGACAACAACTTCCCCAATTGAATCTGGTAAATCCAAGCCACCAAATTCAAGGCCTTGAATGGTACTAGGCATGGCTAAAAACAGATGCACAAGCACATACAATCCCATGAAGAAAGTGGAAATCACAGTGAAATTAGCAAAATATTGAACAGCAAGCTTCCAATCTGACTGTGTTTCCACCTGTAAAGATGCCAAAGCCTGTTCTTTTTCTGATCCAAAATCTTTCAAATCAACCACCTTCAGCTTCTCACCCAACAAACCCCCAACCTGCTCAAAACTATCCTTCACACCCTGGCGGGCCCCACCTTCAATCATACCCTTCATCATTGTGTTATGCAAGAAATTCATCCGCCATGAAACCACCAAATGAGAACACTCTTCCCCTGATGGAAGCTCGGGTCCTGGAGAAATGGAGGTCATAACCTCAACCCTGTAATTGCTTGCATATGGAGCTTCTGGAGTGTTCACACTTGCTAAAACTGCAAAACATTTTCCATCTGCTTTCAGATACGTTTGATCTTCAATTGCTTTTATTGCTTTTATCAGCCTGGATGCTGCTTTCACGTATGTAACCACTCTTTTTAGACTGCTGCTTTCTGTGTCGAATTTCCATGGTCCCACTTGAAGATCTGTACTTCCTTGAATCTCTGCTAATTGTTTCAGATAGTTTGATTCGGATGAGAAGATGAAAGAATTCAATTCAGATGGTGAAATCGCATACATCTGATCCAACATCACCCCTCCGGGTAAATTAGCAGGCATCTCCCTGCCTTCATCTTTCTCTTCCATGTTTTTCATTAGTTCTCCAAAGTTTGCAGATAAGATTTGTTCTTCAGTTTTGTCCTCGGATACCTCTGAGTCGTCGGTTTCGGGCACCTCGGGTAGCTCGGTCAGTTTAGTAGAGACGGATTGTAGGATGGGTTCGTTGTTTCTGTTGAAAATCTGAGAAAGCAGACTTGAAATCTTCTCTTTGTTTGTTTTCTCCTCTTTCATAGGCGCAGCAGCTTCTTCTGGCCTCATTGGAGATGACATTCGTGAACTGGTGGAAGACCTTGCAGGCGACATTGATCCGTTCTCAGCTTGTGGTTGCAAGTCCGATTGAGGGTTATTTTGGGAAAAACATACCGTCAGAAGAATTTCGCCTGGTAAAAATCATTCAATTCATACATTTCAAAACAAGATCTGTATGTATTACATACATAAAATAACAGAGAGTAAGTAAGTAAGTAAGTAAGAAGATTACCGCATTCTTTGAACTTGGATTTCTTCTTGGGCTGCAAACGATACCATATAGTACCAAGGGATTTGTCAACAGTATCGAAAACCTGAGAAATGGGGATTTTAATGCTGCCAACAAAATCATCATTGAAGTACTTATCTTCATTCAAGACAGTAACAACAAGCTGCTCCTTCAAATCCTCCACCTTGAAGCTAAACTCATCGCACCAAGAAGGGTTCAAGCACTTTTTCACCACTTTAGTCTTGAACCTCTGGCTCCCTAGTTTTAATTTCACGTATGGATCAATGGAACCATTTGGATCTATTGCAGGTAGATTCTTGGCTTCAATCACACGAACTAACAGCTTCATATCCAATCAGCACGATACAAACTTCGGAGTAATGTTAATGTGAAGTAAATTGCAATCGGTAGAGATCACGGAAGTGGATTGACGTTTGCCGAAGAGGGGCACATTGTAGTAGAGATCAATGAACTCCGTGAACTCAGCATAGGGGGGGAAGGTCAACCAAAAACCCAGAAATTTGATAAAATGATTTACAAAGCGGAATATAACGAAACTGGAAAAGGGTCTTGGAGATTCTTCAAGTCTGAAAAGGAGCAATGGAATAAACAAACCAAAAACCCAGAAAATTGATGAGATGATCGAGGGGATCAATCAAGAAATTGGGACAAACGAAGTGGATGAATTTGGAGAAAACAGCAGAAACGAAATGACAAGAAATTGGCGACGATTTGAAGAACAGTGGAAAAGATTGATTGATCGAGGAAGAAGAAGAAGAAGGGTATTGTTGAATTCAATTCAATTTTTGTAGCAGACGACGGGAGGAGACTTTGATCTATTTTTATTTTTCCTGAGAACATTTAAATATAAAATATTAATAAATAATAACCACCATCACCATGTGGCATGTAGTTCATATTTCATTTCCTTGGTTTATCTATCTTTTTTTGTTCTTTTTCTTTTTCTATCTATGTTATTCAAATACGGATTGCGCGTCTCTCTTTGGAACCATTTGACTTTTTGGAAACTTTCTCACATCTTTTAGTTTTGTTCATTATTAGTTCACCAAATTAGGTTTTTTTTTTTTTTTTTGTTCTTTATTTATATATATTTAAATTAGGTATGTTTTTTTCTTTATTTACATATATTTTAATAAATAGAGTTTGTAAACAGATTAGATAGAATATATATATATATATATATATATATATATATATATATATTCAAATGTTTTTAGCAAATATTATGTGCCTAAATGTTCCAATCAGAATTTAGGAAAAAAGAAATCATTAATTAAATAATAAATGGTAACTTAGTCATTTTACCTTTATAAACCAAAAATAAATGTTGTATATTTGGAAAATCATTAAATGAGTATCACAAATCCTTTTTAAATCGTTGTTCATCTCACTAACCCTAATCTTTGTTCTTTTCTTTTTTCGATCGGCATGCACATGAGAGACCCGATTTCTTGTTCCTCCCTCTTCATCAGATCGAGAAGGCATCGGGCGATCGAGAAGGCATCGTGGCTGGTCTTAATCTGTTGGTCTCTTTTTCCTTATTCCACGGATATTGTTGGTGTTGATCTCATGGAAGGGGTTCCTCCTGATTTGGAACCTGATGTTATTATGAAAAAAGAAAGGGGAAAAATGTGAACCCGAGAAACAAGCTGAAAATCGATTTTGGTGAGGCTTCTAAGTTACCGTTTGATCCTTTGAAAGCTAAATCAGTCACTCTTCTTGTCAATAAGTTTGAATCAGAAGTGAAATCTCTTGTGATAAAAGGATCGAGTGATGTGAGTAAATCTAAAGGCCCTAGGTCTGGAGTGAATTTGGTGGATTCCCTTTTGGATGTTGGATGTGATGCGATTTCTATTGAGAATAAGGGCTTGGGATTAACGAATGGTTCTGAGGGTGCTGTGATGGGATCGAAGATTTCTTCTAAAGTGGTTATGGCTGATATATCTGGTTCTCTAATGGTTAATCATGTCATTCGCAATCCCATTAAGGAGGATGAAGTGATAGAAGGTTTGAGCTCCCATGTGCTTGAAATTGAAAAAGACATTGAGAAACCAATTATTTATTTAATGCCTACCAATTGTTTGTTAAAAATCCTAAGAGACAAGATTTTTGTTTTTCATGTTTTTCACAGGTTTCAAGATTGACCAAGGGATAAGTTGTCATTATTGAGAATTTAAAGAAAGTTTCATGATGCATACCAACTGCTCGATAAAATGCTTAAATCAGGTTTCTATCCAATCTTTTTATATAAGTTCAACTATTTTTTTTGGCAAATATAAATGGTTTCTTCATAAAGGTTTTTGTTGTAAGCAAGGTGTTTAACAAAACTCTTGGATCAACTTTTTTTCAATTATATTATAAATTGTTTTGCAGGACCATGGAAGTATCAAATCTGTTAATTTTTTTTATTCATTTGATTGTTAATAAATTGAGAGGATAAAAATCTGTTAATTTTTTTTTATTCATGTCTTCTGATTATGGTTTTGGTTAATTATTTATATATTGATAATAAATTCTGCTAGAATTTTACTGTTTTAATTTGATAAAATTTTAATATTTATATGTTGATAATGTATTCTAACAGAATTTTACTATTGCATTCTAACAGAATTTGTGATAGAAATGGCTTGAAGAACTGATGGGAAAGGTTTGAAGAATGAATTAAAGAATTATCACACTTAATGTCTAAGAATGTTGTTATTTTTTAAGAATTACACTTGTTATTCTTTCAGAATTGTAACGCCCCGATTCTCAGGTATGATTTAAATAAGATTTCTTGGGTTAAGGCCTACTCGACGATTTGTCGCCCTACTCGTCGAGTAGCAGCAGGGGTGGGATTGCGTGATAAGTGACTGATATTTGCATATTTAGTCTTATATTAAGCATAGATTTTTATCATTTATTAGATAAATTATTGCATTTCATGGACAAAAGATACTTAAAAGTGTTTGAATTATGTTTTCAGTCCAAAGTTTAAGCTTGGAAGCAAAAGGAAGCAGGAGAAGCGGTTTGGAGCTCGGGAATTGAACAAAGAAGAAAAACCACCAAAAACAACACCTACTCGGTAAGTAGGGTCGCCTACTCAGCGAGTTCGAGCGAAGGATCGAGAAGATAAAGACTTCGTGACTTACCGTACATGGGATTTAAGTGATGGACTCGGTGAGTCAAACATGGACTCGACGAGTCGGGTCGAATCTATAAATACGGCTTTCCAGATCGACATTCAACATTCTGGAACCCTTGGGGAGAAGCAAGCTGTGAATAAGAGCTAGGAGAGACCTAAAGAACGAAGATACCACCTAGAATTCAATCCCGAAGGAGATTTGAGGCAAATCTACATCATTGTACTTAATCTTTTGTTTTCCATTATGGCTAGACAATTAGAATTTGTTTTTATGCTGTTTATCACCTCAAACATGAGCTAAAACTCTTAAACTTCTGTTTGGGGATACAATATTGATACTATGGATTGATTATTATGGTAGGATTAATTCAATGTTGGTGATTTTGTTGATTTTAGCTTGTTAAAGAACCTTATGTGTGAATGATAACTATTTTTCTGTTAATAGGAAGATAATTAGATAGCATGAACATCTTTTAATTATCAACCTCATATGTTATGTGACCACTTTTTCATATGTCTAGGATTAATGAACATGAAACTAGAATTAATAAGAAAAATAGGTAAATTCATGTGTGAGCTTGTGTGATGACCATCAACAAGAAGTTAACTAAAGGACCAAATTAGTTAGCTATTACAAGTCTAAATTAACCCGAATAAATAATCTAGTGAATTAAATTAAATTAGACAACTGATCACTGTTTGAGTTAGTTTGTTCTCTAAGGATTAGTGCAGCGAATGTGAATCTAATTACTTTAATCGGTAACCAATAGAAGAATTAATCCATTGCACTATCACCATAATATCAACCATATGATCAATTGAGTTGAACTAAACAAAAGTCCTTCCCATTATTGAATTTAGTTAAATCTTTGTTCTTCTAGTTTTTAGATTAAGTGTTAGTTAATAAGTTTCTAGTCTTGTAAAACTAGAGAGAAAAACCCTTAGTTATTAATAAAGTTAGATAAAATTAGTTTTTAGTTTTAAGTTATCGTTCCCTGTGTTCGATACCCTACTTATTTAGCTTTACCACAATTGATAGGTCCACTGCCTTTGTGTGTTATTTTATAAATAAAAGTAGGTTTAAAACTAGTTAAGTTTACACACATCAAGTTTTTGACGTCGTTGCCGGGGAACGGTTCTAAATTAGCACTAATTTTTATTTTTATCGATCATTTGTGTGGGATTTATCTAACACAGAGTTAATTCTTAGGTAATTTGGTAATTAGTATAGGTTTTAATAAATATCTGTTTTATTAGTTAATTAGAAAAAAAAAAGTTGCCTTGAACTCGCCGAGTGCACTCGTGCCAACTTGGCGAGTCCATCGCTGTTACAGTTTTAATTTTAATTTTATTTTTGTTCTTTTTACGCGTTTTTTTATTTTGTTTGCAGTTGTTTCATGACCTGAGGATCTGATACACCTCTGGTCCCTCCTCTAGAAGACCCAGAATCCGCACTTAGGAGGAACAAAGGAAAAGCCGTTGGAGAATCCGTTTCTTCAAAGAACTCACCACTAAAGAACCTCAAGTCCGTTTTCAGCAAGAAGAAGAGCAGCAAATCAGGATCATCCAACGCCTCTTTAGCAATTGAAGACCCAATTATAGAAGTCATCGAGTACGAGACCGAAGGAGAAGAAGATCTCACTTTCGGACACGAATCCGACTTTGAAGACGATTTAGCTATCACTATGGCTAACATCGATGAAATCCCCATGGAGGAATAGAAGAAGAGGATGTGTGACGACACCGGACCGGGACTTATGCAACCCACAATTCCCACTACTGCCACTTTCGAACTAAAAGGGCCACATACTCGCTCAACTTAAGGAGATACCCTTCTATGGAAAAGACCACGAAGATGCCTACAAGCACTTGGATGAAGTAAATGGTGTCGCTGACTATTTCAATGTACCAAATGTGCCACGCGAGACTCAGCTACTTTGCATGCTTCCAGTTACATTCAAAGGTGCTGCAAAAGACTGGCTCAAGTCACTTCCTCCCGGGTTAGTCACCACATGGTCCAAGATGAAAGAAGAGTTCATAGACCATTTTTGCCCACCTTCCAAAATAGACAAGTTAAAGAAAGCCATTGTCAACTTCGAGCAACAACCCGGAGAATCTCTTTATGAGGCATGGGAAATGTACAAAGGTCTTCTCAGAAATTGCCCACACCATGACCTTGTTGGATTAGTGTCTAATTCCATAACTATTTTGGTATGTACTTGACCCGATGGTGCATGGTCCTTTTGGGTTGCCTTCACCAAAGCAACTTGATTGGAGAAATAAATAAAGAGAGAGAGAGGTTACTATGATTTATTAATATGTTATAAGAATAATATATTAAAGGAGAAATCATATTTGCTTAATTAATATTGGTCAATAATTAATTAGGAATTAATTTTGTGATCAGGTGTAATTAATTAAACTAGAGGGGCTGAATTGTAATTATGTGATAGTTACAAAATATGGTAATGGTTATCCTAAATATGGGTTGAACGAATTCAAGGAGATAAGGATCCTTGAAATCGTCCAAAGGATAAAGGATAAGGGTTTTCAAGGCTTCCATATGCTAGAATTAGGGTTTGAAGTCTTGGATTCAAAGCATGTACAATAGAGAAACCTAGATCCAAGCATTAGGGTTTGTATGAACACATAGGATGTCTTATGACTAAAAACCATCAGTGGTATTAGAGCCATTGGTTTGGTTTCAATTGTATGAACTTGATATATTAGGGTTTATTGCCAATAAACCCTAAGAGGCTAGGGTTTTTCGAGATTAGGGTTTGCAAACCCTAATTTGCAAGAGTTTGAATAAGATCATCAAATCCTTTCCTTAAACCCATAAATTTCGAAATCTAGGGTTTGTTATAATCCCTTGATTTTCGAAATTTGCCTCCTCCCCAAGATAAGGTCCTAATTTTTAGGGATTTGGATTATCCCATATCTTGTAATTATCCTCTAATTGTTATATATGGTAATTCAAGATCTTGCATTATCCATCCATATTTTCAAAATCTATATAGATATTTAAGGGATTAGGATAACTTAAATGTCTAAATGGTAATTATCCTCATTATTTAGATAATCCCTTATGATTTAATAATTAAATTAATAGTCTAATTCAAGATAATTATTAAATCAAGAGTTTTAATATTTAAAATTTTAATTTAAATGTCATAAATTCGAAATTTTAAGATAGATTAAAACTAAATTGTTTTGAAATGTTTCAAAACTTGCCCTCAAGTTTTGGAATTTAAAAGTTGATTAAAAAGGTTTAATTAGGAGTGTTAAAGTCTAAAACCCTAGTATTGTTTTGAAAAGTTCAAATCACACCCTTATGGTTTTATTAATTAATTAAGGTGTATAATTAAAAGAGATTTAATAAATCCATAAAAGTTTTGGTTTGCAATTTAATCGAATTAAAGGTATAATTATTAAATTTGACCACATAGTATTTTAAAAGTATGAAATGCACCCTATATTATATATATAACATTAAAAGTCTAACATTATATATATATATATATATATATATATATATATATATATATATATATATATATATGTATGAGTAAAAGTTAGTCTTACTGTTAGTAGGCCTCATTCACGAAGCTGGTCTATAAGGGGTGTTTAAGGAAATTGCCTATAAAATGGCGATTGAATGGGTATCCACTCTTACCCACCGCACTCTTGACTAGTGGAGGGTCGTTAGCCGAACGGGTAGGATAGGACGAAACCTTCCATTATAAGTATAATGAAATACAAAGTAACTAAATGGTTTTCTAATTCCCAATCTTAGTTACTTAGGCAAAAGTGAATTGATGCAATTCCATGAAATTACACTTTGTGCCCTTGCGAAGACGTTAGTGGAGCGTGTGTGGTTTACCGGCACACTAAATGGTTCTAAGCAAAGGTTTCAAAGGGTGACTCAATGTTTGTCATAGTTCGGTGGAGCGTGTATGGTTTACCGACACATCTAATGGGTGATTGTAACATGTGAGGGCACCATGTAAGTTTGCATGGTTATTAACACCCACTTTGTGATCCT